TGGAGTATAGTGTGTCCGTATAGTGAGCTTGATGATGACGATTTGTTTTGCTTCAATGCATATTGTCTTGTTAGCAATTTTCTAAATATTTTACCAACAGAGAGGAGCTAATCTCTTTCCAGTGTTATTCTATTTCTCAAGACAAGAGTGGCACTACTACTCCAGTTCTATCAGAAAATATGATCTATCAAATAAACAAACTGGAACAAATAAGCATTTATCAAAGTTGGGGGTATTTTGTTGGTGAACTAAACAATAATGGTATTATTACGAAAGCAATGAGCATTATGTTGCGTTCTTAAAATATGTTCGCTTTAGTCAGAAGATGAAATAAAGTTGCAATTAACGAAATTGTTTTATTTTTCCAAAATTGTTTTCCCTCGAATAATACTTTCAAACGTCAAAACGGAAATTGACAGATTGATTTTTTTAGGTTGGTAGCAACGTAGACTTGTTCATAATATTGCTAGCATTGAAAATGTCAATTTTTATTCTCCGTTTGTGTATCTAATTAGTCAAGAGTCCCGTCTCTTATTTTATATACTCTTTGGTCAGTGCTTGTCAGTGTCACTTTACAAAATGAGAGAGATAAATATTTATACTCGCAAACTTGTAATTACGAATTGATTACGAATAACTTTTATCACTTTTTTAAATTTATGGATAAATTCCTACTGTTTGATGTGTGTTATTCAAGCTATTGAATATGTAAATGTTAATTTGTATTTAAAATGTAAAACCAGAATAATTCCAGGGTAACCTTATTCTCGTTTTACCCAATTTGTTAATTTATTAAATTAAGTAAAAGTCTTATCTTGTTATCATGGGAGAAATGTTTAATAGATTAGTTCAGTTCCAAAGTCAAATTTTAGTTGAAATTCAAGAAACATCTGATCTTAGTTTTTCTTGTTTACTTCTAACAAAATATGTGAGAAACATTAACTCTTTAGATTCAGTGTCCTTGTTAAAAATTCAAGCCATACTCGATTACATGCATGAACTGATAAATGCTGGAAATTGGAAAGATGTGAAACTTTCTTGGAGAAAAACTATAACAGTAGCATCTTATCTAAAACTAATAGTTCTTCATAAGTCGTCTACTGAGTTAACAGAAGACTTACTTCAAGAATTATTTAAGATTATTGACCATGGTATTCTTTTTGGGTGTCCTCTTAAAAATGAATCAATGCTGTTACAAAAGTGTGCAGAAATCATTAACACTTTTCGGCCACATGTCAATAAAATTGAAAATGTATGTAATGAAGTAAAAGATGTAGATATTCAAAGCAGCTATAATAGTTTATATAAAATTGATATTTTAAACTGTCCTAGTATGGAAACATTTTTCAGAGACTACATTTTACAAGAAAGACCAGCCGTTTTAGAAAACTGCATCAATCACTGGCCTGCACTAGAAAAATGGAAAGATCAAAATTATTTCATCAAACTTGCTGGACTTAGAACTGTGGCGATTGAGTTAGGCAGTGATTATACCAAATCTGAATGGACCCAGAAGTTAATGACATTGGAAGAATTCATAAAAAACTATATGTTTAAAACAGATGGACCTGTAGCATACTTAGCTCAGTACCAACTTTTTGACCATATTCCAGAATTGAAGCTAGATATAACAGAACCGGAATACTGCTGCTTTTCTGACACTAATGAACCTGTAGATATTATGGCATGGTATGGCCCAAAAGGGACATTATCACCACTTCACTATGATACAAAAAGAAACTTACTAGCTCAAGTTATTGGTAAGAAACATATTTTTCTGTTCTCACCAAAAGATACTGATTATTTATATCCACATGATAGTCAATTATTACACAATACAGCACAAGTTGATCCAAGAAAGCCAGATTTGGAAAAGTACCCTGAATACAAAGAAGCTAAGCCATATTATTGTACTTTAAGTCCTGGGCAAATGTTGTTCATACCACCTAAATGGTGGCATTGTGTAGAATCTTTATCTATTAGCTTCTCTGTGAGTTTTTGGTGGCAGTAATAGACATGAATAAAACTTTCTGAAACATTTCAATTTAATTTTTAACTAACATCCTTAAATACTGCTGTTTTCTTCACCAAATCTAAGTATCAGTTTACTCCACAAACTAGTAAAAATTTAGACAAACATGTAAATAAATATTACCAGTGAGAAACATTTATTTTGCTTGGCACATGAGTGACAAAAGTTCACTGAGCTGATGGCCAAACTCCATTAAATAAAGAGACAGCTTGAGAGACAAAGAGAGAGAGAGAGGGAGTATAAATAAATGATAAATGAAATAGAACAGTAAAATACACCTTTTTATTTTAACATTATAGAATACACAACAGTATGTAAAAAATAATTACAAGTCAATACAAATAGTGATCGGAAAATCATATTAATTGGATCACATTAGCAAATACATATTATTTGCTCGGATTGAAACTGTCCTGAAATAGTCTACTATTTAAGAAATTATGGCTTTTTCTTAATCCCCAGTTTACTTTTAATTTGTGGTTTCATTATGCATTCTTATGGTGAAGCTGAAATCTTTTTGACATGTGCAAATATAAATTGCAAAAAGGAAACTTTAGTCAACTTACCTGTTAATATAGAAAATACCAGTGCTGAAAGAATAGAATTAGAAAGTACCTACTTTTTTGTGAAGCATGCCTTAAAATTATTGCCAAAACAAAATGTTTAAAAATCAACACATACTACAGCCAACATGTGATAATGATAACCAATATGATAACAATGGAACACCAATCGCCCTGTGAACTAGAAATTGGACAAAAAAATTCTAAAATCGATTTCAAGAAACTGTTCTATAAATTCCAAAGAGTGAAAATTCTAATAAGCAAAGAAAGATTAAAGATATTAAGGCATAAAACACTTTTTGAAGATATGCTGAACGTCACAACAGCTTGCGGTGCTGGTCAGTGTAAAGGCAAAAGGCAAAGGGAAATGTGGAGTGCATGGTTGTACCAGAATGTGCGAATAAAAATATTACGCAGAAATTATTGAGATTCAAAAAGATATTTTAAGTGAAATGGGATAGAAGTGAAATAATTATTTATAAGTTCTTTTATCTATATTCTCTATTTAAGACTCTTCCTATAATCAGTCGTCTCACTTCAGACGTTCCCGCACCAATTTCACCCACTTTAGCGTCCCTGAGTATTCTTCCTGTTGGATAGTTATTGACGTAGCCATTCAATCCTGAAAAATTTGGATTATTACGAAACTATTGACTTGATTCATAATCACTTCATGTTTACGATTGCCCCACGAGTTACATTTCAAAGCAAAACCGATTCGTTTGCTGCACTTCCTTTGTTAATCGAAAAATGATTACGGAATCCTGGATGGCACAACGAACAATGACGAATCTAGCTGCAAATGTAAATGAACTATGTAAACTATATTTGCTTAAGTGTTTTTTTGACTACCCAACATATTGGTGGAATAATCACAGAACTTGGATTGATTCGTAACAAGCAATTTTTGATGCTACGAAATAGTTAAATTGAGGAACAAAAGACAATATTAGTTTCAAGTAGCAAAATAGTACGAGATTAAAATCACACATCAGATAGTATACATATCTACAAGGATTACCTTGTAGGTATTTATAAAATATAATTTTTGTAACCTTAATAACGAAACAGTGCAGTTATTTGTTAATAAATTGAAAAATAAACTTTTATGTATCAACATATCATTATTCTTTATTTATATTCGCTGTTCAATGCTCTTCCTATAAGCATTCTTCTCACTTCAGATGTGCCTGCACCTATTTCATATAATTTAGCGTCCCTAAGTATTCTTCCCGTTGGATAATCGTTGATATAACCGTTGCCTCCTGAAAAATCAATATAACATCACCAAGTAACCTATTAAGGAACCCTTATGTAAATAAACAACGTCTCATCTCGGCTAAAGCACAGATGATGAATCCATAGAGAAAGTTATGTCACACGTTTCGATCGAATTTTAATTCGGCCAAATTTAGATGTCATCTCTATCAGCAAATAAAATAAGGCCAGCCATTTGATAATCTGGTACCAAATATATTACAAGAATAGTTCTAATTTTAACCGGTGTGGTCGTAGTTTAAGATATTACCTAATATTTGTATAGCATCCAGGGCGAGTTGTGTGGCCCGCTCCGCGCAGTACAAGATGACGCCCGCGCAGTCCTTGCTGTTGACGTGGCCCGCGTCGCAGGCCTGCGCCACGCTGTATAAGTAGCTCCGGCTGGCACTCAATATCGTGTACATGTCCGCCATTTTACCCTGTCATGGAAAATATATGGTCGAAATAGTAAAATGGTTATAGTACTTTTCAAATATCTTGGCTCGGAATGTTTAACGTACCGTATCCCCGTACCCTTAGTAGGGGGATACGGGTGAAGTTGGTCAGGTCACGTGTTAGTCGGCCATATTACAAGAATTCTGTAACTTGTTGGTTACGTTTACCAAAAGTGACAATCTCGGCATCAAATTATTAAATCACTCGCATGACTTTTCCCAGTATAGATTGTTTTACATTATAGTATTAGATTCGGGATACGGATTTAATGTCTCTAAATCTGATTTTGGATCTATATTGTTTAAAAGATCCATTTTACCTGTAGTAACTGGAATTCTCCAATATTCTTTCCGAATTGTTTCCTAGTATGAGCGTATGAGAAAGCAGCGTCAATGGCCGCCTGCATGAGACCGACGGGACCCCCGGCTAGCACCAGACGCTCCAGATCCAACCCTGACATCAACACGTACACACCTTTGTTCTCTTTACCCAATAGATTAGCTGCCGGCACCTAAAAATATTAAATTTCTTTAAATAATTTGAAGAGTTAAATACATTTAGTGTAGAGTTGAAGAAAGGAATGAAAAGATACGCGATACAATGCGAATAATATTGATATGGAAGTGTGAGGTGTAACAAATGAATAGGATAGGAACCCAGTTCGTAAATGGAAACCTTGAAAATAATGAGTAAATTGCATCAAGACTCACATCATGTGACAAAGTTGAAGCTAAAGCAATGTCATATAACATGGAGAGATTTCATATTAATATAGAATATAATGTAATCATATGGTACCTTACAATCTTCAAATACCAATTCGCCAGTATTGGAGCCTCTCATTCCGAGTTTGTCGAGTTTCTGGGCGGTAGAGAAACCGGGGAAATCTTTTTCGACCAAAAAAGCTGAAATTCCGTGTTGAGGTTTGCTTGTTAAATCAGTTTTAGCGTAAACCTGTAATCAAAATAATTTCAATAAAAAATGCTATCTAAATTTATTTAACACGTTATGCCTGGTTTACATTATGTCATTAAAGTAACTGGCGACAGTGAACCAAAACGGCGAGATCCAAGCTACTGTGCTACTGGACTGGCGTAATTTAATCCAACCATGAGAGTTATCGATATATTAAAGGTCAAAGGGGTCAAACATTGCACTTTGTAATATTTTAACTGGATTCAGTAACAAAGCAGTCATCTATACAAATTAAAAAAATTGGAATGTCTGTATATAATATTGAGGATAAATCACATTGGTACTACGTTTGATATTTTTAAAAAATCATTTTTTTATCTTCGTCTGTATGTTTGTCTAGACTGCGTTTCCGGGTAATCTCTGGATCAGATTGACCGATATTAAGGAAAAGGTGATGCACGCGAGTTTATATTCTACGCAGACGAAATCGCGGACAACAACTAGTTTAAAAATATTATTTAATTTGATGAAACTAAACTTAAATCGTTGGTTCATTAATTCTATTCAATTCAATTTAATAATGTACGTGAATTTGAATTTAAAATCTATTAATTATAATGTTAATTTCTGACACCAAATTCATCATATTGTTTTCAATTTAAATACTTTATTTTAATAAAATAAAAATATTCAAGTGTAAGATAACTAAATAATAGTCTAGACAAATTATTGTTATAAATAGCTTCGTCGCGTTAAAAAAAAAACAATGTTGAAAGTCGGACTTTATTTCTTGAGATTTTTATAAAGACAAAGGTCAGCCAATACAGGGAGGTTCAAGTTTTTTTTAGTAAATACTTTACTTCCTTCTATATAACATTTCGTATTTGAATTTGAACTAGCTGTTACCCGCGACGTCGTCCGTGCGTAGTAAAAAAAATAATAATTAATAGCCTATGTGTTCTTCCAGACTATGTTAGACGTCGATATCAAATTTCAGTTAGATCCATGCAGCCGTTCTGGATACCTTATAACAAACATCCATTAAAACATTCGCATTTATAACAGTGCGGATTTACTAAGCAACAAAACAAAATAGACGACTTGAGAATCTCCTCCTTTTTGACGATTGTTAAAAAGATTTTTTTTTCAAAGTTACCTCCATTTAGTTTGCAGTAGGAAATGTAGATACTCACAACTAAAACGTCAGCGTCTGGGCCATTCGTTATCCAGAATTTGTTGCCATTGAGCACGTAATAGTCCCCCTTTTTTTCGGCGCGTAGCTTCATGGAGACCACGTCACTGCCCGCACCGGGTTCGGACATCGCCAGAGCTCCCATATGCTCCCCTGAACATAGCTGGAATATCAAGAAAATAAAAAGAGGAGACCTTAAATAATTTTAAAATGAGTGTTAGCAACAGAAGATACATCTAAATAGTATATAATTTTGGTAGTTTTTACTTACCTTAGGTAAATATTTAGCCTTCTGTTCGTGTGTTCCGTTTCTATTTATCTGATTGATGCACAAGTTTGAATGCGCGCCGTACGATAGCGCTATGGCTCCTGAAGCCCTGTATAGCAAATTAGAACCAATTCATCTTAATATAAGCTTCGCTAAGCGCTCAGGAACAGTTGTAAGAAGGACCTTACCTTGACAATTCTTCCATAATAACGCAGTGGTCTAAATACTTTCCCCCTGATCCGCCATACTCCGGACTTGCAGTTATGCCTGAAAAATATAATATATAAATTGGAATATCTGTATATAATTTGAGTAGTTAATGACAAAAAACAAATTTAAAATTTATGACTGTATTCCGGGTAATCTCCGGATCGACTAGACTGATTTGAAGGTAGCTTATGCATACGGGCATATGTAGCCTACTGTTTTTTTTATTCTGCTCTGACGTATTAGGCAACTGCTAGTCTTAAATAAAATACGTTTCAATATATTTAAGTTTAATAAACGTATATGTTAAATTTAGTGCAACTTTACATTAGCGATGTTATGTTTAAAAGTGTTCAGTTCCTCTGTAACTTTAATAAAAAATCGTTTAACAGTTTACATTCGCATTTCTAGAACATTCTTATAAGACATATATACATTATTTATATAATAAGATTTACCTAAAACTCCAAGATTTCCTAGTTTCTTCCAAAATTCTCTTAATTCAGTAAAGTTGTTCGTCCTATCAATTTCTGCTGCTTTTGGCGCCAATTCTTTTTGTGCGAAATCGAAAATCATTTGACGAAGCTGCAAAAAGTTTTGAAATTTTAGAGATGAAAGAAGAGCGGATCTTGGATTTGTAGTAGGCAATGAGGTCAAGTAATAAACAACAAAATGTATGTATTTCTTTAACCAATACTGATAATTCTTGAAATTAAGAAAAATCTAAAAAAATGATGTAGAAATGTGAAACTTTAACATGATTTCTTAAGATTGTTATTATTTTGAAGGCACAAAAAATTAATTAATTTTCAATGCTACAAAATTATATTTTTCTAGAATCAAGTCAATCAACTAGAAATGCGGCTGTCGGAGACTGCAGTGTATAAAGGCTTACCAAATAGTTTTAACAATAATAAAAAATAGAAGAATTAATTTATATGTGTAATTTACATTATAGCTATTTGTTTTACATGAGCTGTAGGTAACACAAACATTAATATTTGATATAATCATCGATTAAAAGGTTAAAAAAAATAAACCAGACTATCGGGTGTCGAAAACAAGGCAAACTTGTTTCGTCATACTCAATTTGTAGTGAATCGTATTATACAAACCTGTTGCTGTTCACTTGACAGTCCAAATATATGCTCATCTATAGGATAATGAGACATGCATCTTCCATTTGTTCCACTGACACAACGACGTAAGATCTTGCCACACAAAACTCTAACAGCCATCGTGAACGACCACTCCCATCGGTAGCCGGCTCAAAACTGTCCTACTCCTATAACAAACTACATCGTAAAAGGAAGATAAAACGCTCCAATACTTGTATCTTATTGTTTTATACATAAAGACTAAAATGCAAAAGCTAATTTTAAATTAATTCACTGAAGATAATTACGTATCCATTGATAAAGAATACAAATAACACGTTATCCGCTATATCAAATTATTCGTATTATTCCAATGGTGACGGAGTGGTTCAAGTCAGGTCGATATTCTGCAAGGTCTTTGATATGTTTATTAAAATAGTATTAAGTTCATGGCGCAAAGATTTAGTACATCTTTAATTTATTAACTTACAGTCTCATAAGTAACAAAATTTATTTTTATTTATTTAATAAGTTATGAAATAACAAGAAATTCATCATCATCATCTTACGTTATACGTCGTGCGGGTTGACCTTCACCGTAAGAACGTCGCATAAATGTTCATATGTAAATGGATAAACACATTGGTATGTACATCGCGGGATTCGAACACAGGACCTGCAGATTAGAAATCAACTGCTTAACTCCTGAGCCACCAACGCATTTAGAATTAAAAGTAATTATTTAGACATATGGCATTGTTTGAAATTTATTAACTTTAACCGAAAAGCTAAAATTACGATAAAATACTACTGTTGAAAAAGAAAAATTAATTATCTATTTTAATAAAATTACGTGAATATGTTTTTATAAAATTATTCAAAAATGAAAAATACGTACAAAAATTATCTTTTTTTTTGTAATTCAAAAGTTTCCGCCAACAGTCGTGTATTTAATTTTCAAAGAATAAAATGAATTTATGAATAGTTTAATGTTAACAAAAAGCGTGTGAAACTATCTACTACTGCCGAAACTCTGTCTTGTATTATTGTCTCTTTTTATTATTAGAGAAAGAAAAAGATGCTAATATGTTTTGATACAAAAATATCGACAATGGAAGCCCACTGGTGATGAAAAACGTATTTTAAAGCATTAAGAAAATCACTTACTATTATTACTTACTACGAGATATGCTAATATTTTGTTAGATTAATACGACGTAAATGTTTAACTCTTCGTTCACTCGTAGGAATGTATCAATTTATGTTTAGACTGGCTGTCGCCCGCGATTCCGTCGGCGTAGTATTAATAAAATCTTTATTAATATGTCCGTGTAGCGTATATGTTTTTACAGGCTATTTTCTACATCTATGCCAAATTTCAGGTAAATCCATTCAGTCGTTCTGGAAATACTTTCAAACAAACATCTATCCATCTAAACATTTGCATTTATGGTATTAGTAAGATTATATTGTTATACCTAATATTATAAACTTTACATGAAAAGTCGTAAATGTATGAAATTTATCAAAATATATTACTAAAAGGAGTCCCTTTAGGCATGGTTCCTAAGATACTGGTAGCGTTCCCCCTTTGACATTTCTTATTGCATTCGAAGTTTTTTTTTCTATCATAAGGTGGCAAACGAGCGAGCGGCCACCTGAAATCGCTGGAATAGCGAAGTGACCGTTGCCCATAGACATACGCAACTGCATATGCGTTGCCTACCTTTAATCGACGGAGGAGAGGATGCATAGAAAGAAAATATTTTCCCTTTCCATGCATCCTCTCATCCGGAAAGGCCTCTTCCACTTCCCATCCTTTCCTTATAAGAAATATGTCGGGAAGGGAAAGAGGACTAAATTAGGCCTCCGGGACGTACACTCATCAGACGAAACGCAGAACTGCTTCCACTTCACGTCTGTCTTCTGTGTGGTCGTGGTATTTCACCGGGCGAGCCGGGCCAATTCGTGCGAAGATGTTAAAGCGTGCTCTACCTATGTTAAATGTTAATATGAAAAAGGAATAATATAAAACAAAAAATCCAACTGAATAATATTTATTTAATAATTAAATAAAAATCTATTTAACTTTACAAGCACCATCATAATTATTATTTATAATGTAACGATTTATTTATTAAACCTATAAATATATAACACCCGAACAATAATACTAACACAAAATAATACAATCTTAAATGTCACAGTGTAAATAATATGTAAAAAATGAAAAAAAAAAACGGAATGTGTAATTGTACACATATTTATACATAATAGGGAATGTACAACTTTGTGTAAATATTTAATTGCAACTTTTTAATATTCTAAACATTAATTAAATAACAGATTTAATATTATGTCGAATTTTGGCAAATAAATTTGTTCAAATTTTATACGAAGTAACATCAGTGAAAGTCCACCTTAAACAGAATTACCTAAAATATTTATTATGATATTTTTTTCTGTCAACTTATCAAATAATAATATTTTTATTACATTTAAATCATGATATGAAGTAAACTGGAGTTTTTGAAAATCCTTTATTTACTCTTTTGGGTTGAACCAGTTAAATATTAACATTTGAAAGAAAAATTATATATATTAAATCTACACTAATGACTCCTTTAATCATCAATTAACGATTTAAATTGTAGGAGTAAATTAAAGTATAATCTCGCTAATCCGGCACTTCGATAGTTCGGCACGTCCAATAATCCGGCACACTACGCCAACGCCTCCCTCGTCCCTCTACCTGTGCGCTTCAGTCGTTGTGTCGTCGACTAATAATATAACCTCAAAACTAAGATTTTTCAACTATGAATAGTTTAAATTTAAAAACCTACACGTTAATTTAATATTCCCTTTATGAAATACTTTATATTATTCATTCCCTATGATTTTCACTATAATCCAGTAATCCGAACATTTCAATAATCCGGCATACTCCGGTTGTTAATAGTGCCGGATTAGTGAGATTATACTGTATATGTATTTTGTATTGTGTAATACATTTAAAGATATAAATAATAATATTATATTTTTTAATTATATCATGTCAAAATTGAGGTCCAAAATAAATGAAAATATTTAATACTTAAGTATCACCGTACTTTTTGTATTCCAATAGGAAATGATATACGTATTAATTTGTGTCCATTTTAGATTTGATAGATTGATAATATTCTGATAATACTTTCCATGCGGAGGGCGCCATGAAGCCATTGGGCGGTTCCTTGCCGGCTTTAGCTAGGCCTGTTCAAAAAAAACTGTACAGTAAACGTGGTAAAGCTCATTTCCTCACCTGTCATATAATAGACTAAAAACTATTTTTTTACTTAAAAAAAATAGGAATCAAATATCAGATCATTCGTCAAAAAAACATCATCCTAATGACTCTTGGCTGTAAGGGAGTTGCCCCCATCCTTCTAGAGAATCGGAAAAGGTAAAATAAATAAAAAACTATTTCCAAACACTAAAATAACTCAAAAACTACGTGTTAGTTTTTCGTCAAAAAATTATGAACCAGATGTTGCTAAGAAATTTCTTAGAAAAAAAACTACCGCTATTATCCCCCTCCCACCCTCTTAGTACTTTAGTATTAAAGTTTTAGTAAAACATATGTTAAAGAAGACATAATTCACCTCTCATCCTGGTGCCGGATATAAAGTCGAAGTCCTGTTTCCTGGTGGGGTCGAAGAAGGCCATCTTGCCCACCGAGGTGTCGTACGCCGCCACACGGAATGGAATTATCTGGAACAAATTATGTTTATGTCAATAGATGGCGCTGTACAAAAATGTGTACAGCGCCATCTATTGGCATCTTGCTAACTACGCGGATACTTCAAATGTGGTCCACAAACAATTAATGAATTTTTTACAGTCATCTTTGTCAGAATATATTAATATCGACTATAGGTCTTCACTGAGGGGCTCGGAGCATGCTTTAAATCTGAGATGATAAGGCCATAGTCAACCACAATGGCAAGGCCTTAATTATAAAAAAAACTGTGCTTTGTATGCCATCTTACTAATATAAAAGCGAATATTTAGATGGATGTTTGTTAGAAGAAATCTCCAGAACGGCTCAATGGATCTTGATGAAATTTGGCACAGACACAAAGGACGGAGTCTTGGACGACACCTAGCAGACTGTAAGTGAGTTGAAGTGAGGTGTGATGTTATTATTGTCGTGTTGTAACAGTAACCTCAAGATCGTTGAGTCCGGGCGCCATGGTGAGCAGCATGGCTCCGTGGCGAGGGTCGTAGAGGTCGCCGCTACCCTCAGGGTGCGGGAGGCCGGCGGGGTCACGACCCACTATATAGTGGTTAGCGCCCGCGTTCATACGACACTTCGCGTGCCATTGTACCTGCACAGTTACACATATTTATATATTTTCCAACGAAATACATACAAGTATAAAGAGAATTTGAAAGAGAGTAAAAAAAATTTGGCCGTGAAAATACTTTACATCAATAACGTAAATACAATTATTTACATGGGAGTTATTTAAAAACAGTGAATCCTTGATAAGCGAGAAACTTCTATAAGCTACAATCTCGGGTAAAATAAACTTTTATAAGCGAGAAAATATCGCGTTCCTTTGAACTCTCGCTATTAGTGCTATGGACCAATTTGCTTAACAGTTAATTTTAAATACATTGGAATATGAACTCAATTGCTGTCTCTGTTCTTTCTAAAGGTTATGAGCGAGAAAGAGAGAAAGAGAGGAGAGAAAGAGATATAGCAAGTACCTCCGTTGGTCCGGCGTACATCATGGGCGAGGGGAAGATGGCGAGCACGGTGGAGTCAGGATCCAGCACGCGCTCCGCCAGCACCGCCTTGTGCTGAGAGATGCGCACCTGCAGCGGCACGTCGTCGTCCTTCGTCCACCCGCCTCACCACACAGAACACAACACATTATAGCATAGCTTGTAAGATGGATGGATGGTAGAAAGTATCTCTAGAACAGCTGAACGGATCTAGCTGAAAAGAAGGGACGCACAGAAAGAGGAAATTTCCCCTTCCTATGCGTCCTCCTCTCTGGGACAGAAATTTAACTATAAAATAGTGTAAGATAAGAAATTACCTAATGGATGCAGTAAGAGCACAGGTTTCTTGAAGCCTCTCTCTAGGAGCTGGCGATGTGTGTCCTGCATCAGCAGTGCGTGTCCGTTGTGGATGGGATTGCGGAGCTAATAAAAAAAAACTATAATTAAAATAATAATTTTAACTATTAATTAATAATAACTTATCGTTTAAAAGAATGCGTTTTTCTCGCTTATAGAGGCTTTAAGCTGAGTTTCTCGCTTATGGTTGGTCGAGGCAATGACTCTCGCTTTGACTTTCTAGTTTACATATGTTCATCTGTTCATATATTGTAGAAAATACTGTCATCATCATCATCAGCTCACTATACTTCACCACTGAGGGGCTCGAAGCCTAACCTAAGTCATTCCTTACTTACTTAAGGGTAGGCTCCGAGCCCCGACCAAGAGTAGACTGGGAGGAGGCTAAATACTATTTAGCCTTCATGTTTTTGCGTCATTTCCTCATTTTTGAGAGTCACGACTTATCTTCTGCAAATACCTGGAAGGCGAAGACAGCATCAGCTCCGAGCTGCAGGAACTTGCGGCGCAGCTGGTTGGGGGTGAGGCGGTACGAGTCGAGGCCGTCGTGCCACATGATGCGCTCGAACACCTCCAGCTTGCCCCCCACCAGCCACTCGCCTGACTCCTCGATCATCTATTCTTACCAAGTATTCTCTACTTTATTATCTTTCTAATATTATAAATGTGAATGTTTACAAGTATGTATGATTGTATGGATCACGCTACAATTTGGCATAGATTAAGAACATTGTCTGGAAGAACATATAAACTACTTCAGTTTTTCTTAATTTCGGCAACAGTTAGTACAAAATAAAGATAAAATATAATAATGTCATTATAACTTTCACTTAAATAATCCACAGTCACTACTAAAATTTAAATTGAATAGAAAATAAATTCCAGCTTGATACCTTCACGCATTTTTGAGAAAAAGGATCTTAACAGACAGACGGACGAACAACAAAGTGATCCTATAAGGGTTCCATTTTTTCCCTACGAGTTACGGAACCCTAAAAATGATTTAAATTTCTTAAAATTATCATATACTATTTAATTAAATTAACTTTTTGAAGAAAAATAAAACTCATTAAATATTTTTTAAAACTCACAAAATGACGTAAAAAAAATACAAATCCAAAAAAATATTTTTCAAATACTTGAGACATGGCATCACTGACCTTGATATAAGGATGTCCAGTATGGTATATGCCGAACTGCCTGCAGCATCTCTCCTGCTTCCTGTGCGGGTAGAACTCAGGAGCGCGCAGTATGGCGAGCGCGCGCCCCGCGTGCACCAGCGCCAGCGCCGCCGCCCCGCTCGCCTGCTCCTTCACACTGGTGGACACCGCCAGCACCACCGGCACCGACTGGTTCACCACGGAACCGTCCGCCAGCGTCAGGCAGTTCGAATGCAGAGCCTGGGAATGTTTCACACGGCTAGAATTTTTTTTATAATGCAAGGGGTCAAACGCAGTGGGAACTTAAGGTTCACGGACGCCCATGGACTACAATATCAGAAGAAACGCAGATGCGTTGCCGCCCTTTGATATGCTCACATCCAATTCCTATTTATGAGGTTTTTATTCTTTTTATTCTTCCTTAATCTATATAAAAAAAGCCTTTCTATGTACTTACTTGTAAGTATTCTGTTTCTCGCATGAATCCTTTGAGTGGATACGCCCAACCTTCAGAAAGTACCTGCAATTTGAGAATTAAATAACTAAAAAAAAAAACTAACATTTTTTTAAAACCAAGTAATAAATTATCTTACTAATATTGTAAATATGAATGTTTAGATGGATGAATGGATATTAGTTTGAAGGTATCTTCAGAACGGTTGCATAGATCGTGCTGAAATTTAATATAGATATAGAACATAGTCTGGAAGAACACATAGGCTACTAAGTTTTTTTTAATTCCGCACAGATTGTGCGGGCGACGCCCAGTTCAATTATAAAGTACTGATACCGAATTATTGGGGAAAGAGTTGCCGTATTTATATATATGCCGCATAGTATAAAGAATGAATATATTTGTCTCACTTGCACCCACTGCAGATCTAAGTCAGTGAGATGTATCTGCGGCAGTGTGGCCGCCTCCTCGATGGCGCTACTGAGCCGGTTGCCATATATAAATAATTCTTCCACTTCTTGATTCCTCGCCTCGTAACGTGGTATAATACCCTAAAAAAACGTTGCCATAAAACATTTTTTACTTCTTCGATTTTAATTTACTGTCACCTTGACCATAATTACCTAGAGAGCACAATTAAAATAACTAAAAAGCGAACATTTATAGTTTTCTGACATTTTTTTACTTTTTAAATATATCTTACAGAAAAGCAAACTAGTCCGATAAGTTTCCAGTTTCGTATCATGAGAACTTTAATACTGAATAAGAAATGAACTTTTTTGCTATTTTTTTATGTTTAATATTATCGATATGTTGGTACGACTTCTGAATTAATTATTAACGATTTAATTATTAACGAACGTAAGATAATAATAACTTCAAAATATCCTAGATAAATTTCAAATTGTTTTAACTATGTTTTATTATTAATCGACTTTACTGACACTATATCAAGATAATAGCGGTCAAGTAATTAAATTAAAAAAAAACTCACCTGTGATTCGAGTAGAGAAATAACTTCCATTGTGGATTCCTCGATGGTCCTGCCAACGGTTTGTATAACCAGCTCCGGTGCGTCCGGTCTTTCATATTCCTGGGTAATACCGGTGAAGCCCTGCGAAATACTATCATCAAAATTGGTACTCTTTGTTCACACATAGAAATAATAGCTTTCTATGTCTCGACCTACTAAATGTAGCAACTATATTTTTTCATCATCAGCTCACTATTAGTTCCCACTAAGGGACTCGGAGCCTACCCTAAGTTAAGGGTGATAAGGTCATAGTCAACCACACTGGTCTAGTGTGGGTCGACTTCACACATATCTTTAAATATCTTTTTAGATATGTGCAGGTTGCATCACGTTTTCTTTCACCGTAAGAACGTCATAGATATATATGAACATCGGAAATCGAAAAACATGTTGGTAGATGGCGGGATTCGAACCCAGGACCTACAGATTACAAGTCAAGTGCTTAACCCCTCAGTCAACGACGGTCTATTACTATATTTATGGGATAAGATTTTATATATATCATTTTAAGTGACAAAGTATGATATAGAAAATTTATGGATCGTAATACAACATATTGTAATAAAATCGAACATGGTTAAGCGAGAAACCTCTATAAGCGAGAGCAATCCGGTCTCGACGGATGACCTTCATAAGCGAGGAACTCGGGTTAGAGAACTCTATAAGCGAGAACAATATTAAGGTCCCTTTGACACTCAGACTCTCGCTTATCCAAGTTTAACTGTATCTGTTTTTTTTAAATCGTGTACCTGTTTTTGTTTTGGCAGTGTAAACCCACGGTTAATATATTTTCATTAGAATAGAAAGTACATTTCCTGCCATAAAACCTTGATATAAAAATCGATAATAACAATTTACCTTTCAAACGAAAGTCAAGTTTATATTAAGTGTAATTACATAGGTGAAAGTGTTCATTTAATGTTACGCAAAGTTTAACACAATAATCTAATCTTACTAATATCATAAATGCCAATGTTTGGATGGATGGATGTTTGTTTAAAGGTATCTCAAGAACGGCTGTATGGATCTCTTTGAAATTTGGCATAGATGTAGAACATAGTCTGGAAGAACGTATAGGCTACTAATTAAGTTTTTCTTAACACCGTGCAAGGCCGCGGGCGTCAGTTAATCTATTTATTTTGTTAACCATTTTCATGTTGATTAATTACGGAGGAATATGGACCCTTATAGGTATTCAAATGAATTAAAAACACTTCTGTTCTATAATTCCGATCTATAATTGTACTTCCTTGTTCTTTTACTATAAAAAAAAACAATTTATGTATGTCTGTATTTAGTCATTGGTAGATTTAGTCATTTTCCGGTATCAACCGGATGTTGCCATATACAAAAAAAGAGAACGATAACCTAAGCAACTATTTTCTTTCAGTTATTTAAACCTATTGGAAAGTTAATGGAAGAATAGATATTTACCTTGATTTGTCCTTCCCTGGCTTTCTTATAGAGACCCTTAGTATCTCTCTGTTCGCAGACATCGAGAGGCGTGTCTATAAATACTTCAAAGAATGGCAGCTGTGAATCTGTATGGATGCGACGAGCCACCTCACGATCCTTAAAAAAACAACTCTATTTTAAAAGAGCTAGAGTTCACATTAGATAATGATTTTAAAACCGTGCCCTGTTAATGAAACTTAATTTGCAATTTACCGCAGTCGCGACTATGAAAATTACGACACTGTCATTATTATGGAATTCTATACAGTACGGTTATGGTTAAACTTAATCGATTATGTATACTGCTTTCTCTATGCGACAATGAACACTACACTAATATAGGGCTAATTGATACACTATAATTGGTCACAAATCGTGTCTTCCAGTTGGTTTTCGAGACCTTAATCTCTGTATGATATCGCCTTCCCCGTCTTTCATTTGACAAAAGAGAGATATGTTTCAAATGGAGATTTTGATCTCAGAAAACCATGATTATTGCAACTGTAGTATTACAGTGGGAACAAAGCTTTTTAAATTTATCTTTGAAATTTTAAACCAGTTTCTATCAGTAGGTCATTGAACTGTCGCGATCTTTACACCGCAAAGTGTGCTACGAGGTTATTGTACTATAAAAAAAACTCGATAACGTGTGGTATTCACACATACTAATTATAAATATCAATTTCCTTATATATAAAGTATCCTAAAAAAGGGTAAGAAAGAAAAAAAATTAAAATTAATCAACTATTTTTTATTTCAAATTAAGTATCCAGTAACCTTCTAAAAATTCAATACTAGACATTGATTTATCCTAATTATTGCCCAACTTTGAATAGGTCCTAACAGTTGTACCATAAGTGGAAATATGCTCGGTTCTAAGACAGACCAAGTCATCAATATTCCGTTATACAATTTCAATACCGATACTATAATTGACAATAACATTCAACTTGTATTCAACTAAATACGGAAGCTAAAGGTACAGTAAATTGTTACAAAAACCGCAAACAAAATTATGCAACGTGACGTTTAAAGGTTAAATTAGACTGAAGTGAATCAACCGTGAAATTACACGAAATAATTAAAGGCCGAATGCAATTATCCATGGCAAAAAAAAAACTACAAGGAAATAGAGAACACAGAAAACAATATTTAAACTAACAACAAAGATAATTAACCCGATTACTGCTATGACGATTGTAGACAGAAAATTATGTCAAATCTAATTTTGTCAGATATTTTGAATGTAAAATTTTGACCGCTCTAATCTTTATTACTCTTCGTTACATAATCATATTCGTATGTTACATACCTCAGCAAAAGGTGACACAAAACTGCATAAACACACGACCCCACTGTCCGCAAACAGTTTGGCTACCTCTGCCACACGTCTGATGTTTTCTTCTCGGTCTTCTTTACTGAAGCCCAGGTTCTTATTTAGACCAGTCCTGATGTTATCTCCGTCAAGACCATACGCTGGGATACCTAAGACAAAACAAAAGTTTCTCTAGACCAAAAATCTTAGATCTTTCTGCTTGACCTTGTCAGCTATTTGTACAAAAGTAGAGGAGAAAGATGAAAAGATATGAAAAGGTAACGAGACTTATAGTATTATATCCTTCTGATGTAAACAAACAAAATGTATAAAGACATTTATTTCAAGAGTTTATATTGTGAAGTTTAGAACCTTCTGTGGCCGTTAAATGGGTCAATTACCCAACTATGGGATAGAAATGACTTCTTATAATCTTACTATTCCACTAATCTCGGATGGATGTTTGTTAGAAGTTGTCTCGAGAAGAGCACATAGGCCTCTAATTAAGCCTTTTTTTATTTCGCGTGGCAGAGTAGCGGGCGACAGCTAGTAGAAAATAAACAAGATGTTCCTAATCCTCAAAACGTGTGGGTGTGGCCCAACATGACTAGAATTGATGTGATAAAATTCAATTTATCGAATCGTTTGATTGTCATGCGTAAATACCCTGTCGTTGCTCGTAACACACGCAACGGGATTAAGATAAAAACATATCATGATAAATAATGTAATTAAAGTATTATTTATAGGAAATTTACACAAAAAGTTTAATGTAAGTTATTAAATTAACATCAAAATAATTGCAGTATTTTCGTCAGCCATTTTTCAGGGATAACAAACTCTACAAAATCTCTACGATATTCGATCCCATTGTTAGTATCAGGGGAAATTACATCACTTAATGACAGTGACTATAACAATGGCCTTCATAAACCAACATCGTAATATACATGTAAAGGTCGAGGTAACAAATAATCCATCGATTCTCCATCAGTTTATATCAAACCTTTTGATTAGTTTTTTTATGAAGACAAACAAGTAACCGATTCAATTAAAATTCGGTAATAATAACCTATCTTTATACAGGGGAATAAACAGAATATTTTCTTAAGTCAAAGTCTTCTGCTGTTCCCAATAAAATAGACATCTCAATTAAACTGTCGGTCTGTAACTTCAAAATTTTACTTATATTGTGGAAAACATTAGAAAATAAATAATATTTTGTATTCTATATAATCAACATAGTAAAGCACATAGTAATTAGGTATCCACGTGTATACGAGGCAACAACCGAGCAGTATCAAGTTACAGTAATGCATAATTTACATAAGTAATAATTGCTGGACAACTACGAATCGACCAAGGTGAATGACAACCAATGGCGATTTAAAAGAAATTAATATAAGAAAACAAACTAATTTTGATTAGTATAGTATACTTTGGTACATAGTAGTGATTAAGTAAATATTACATTAAAAATAACAGTATATAGTGATTGTTTATAAACAAAAAACTTTATTTCTATTTAAAATTAACCATTAAAGTGTGCTTAATAAGTGAAGTTATAGTTATTATGTACATTTATTTCCCTCTCTCCATTCTTTCATTATCTCATAGTTCCCACACTTTCCTAAAATAAAAATGATTAAATTCAAGGTAATTAACTAGAGAGGTGTCACGACCCATGTAGGGCTCGTGGTTTAAGACAAATCTCTAACTTTCAAGATTCCACGAAGATCCACGGATCCCCTAAGATCATAGTCTGTTCATCCCAAGTATACACCTATAATATACTAATTTCCATAGTGTGAATTGCATTGATAAATTACCTTTAGAGACAAGGTACGCCTCGAGTGCGAATGCAATGCTGGTCTTGCCGGCGCCGCTGAGCCCTGTGAACCAAACAGTGCTGCCGCGGAAGGCGCGGCTACCGAGCGCTTTGCTGCGCTTCGCACGAGACACTTGATGCT